GAATTTTATTACTTGGACTATCAATCGAGAAATCTTTTTATCCACTGTCGTATATATATATATATATATATTTTTTTTTCATTTCAGTACTTTGTGAAATTTATCGCACATACTTTGCGTTGTCTTTAACTTTTTGTCCTTTCCGCAGCTGGAGCACAAACAAGTTACTCCTCCGTACAGACCACGGTTAGATTCGGATCGTGATCTAGCTAACTTCCCACCTGAATTTACAGACGAGCCTGTTCACTTGACTCCCGACGACCCGTAAGTATTATTAAGTAACCAACTTTGTATAAAATTGTGATAAAAACAACGTTATTTAACATTAAAATTTAATCTACATCAAAGTGTTTTACATTCGTGCGTTGTGTAAATTTCATACAAAATTTTATATTAATTTAATCAATTAATTTTGTAGGAGAGTGATTGAGAAGATCGACCAAAGCGAATTCGATGGTTTTGAATACGTAAATCCTCTATTAATGTCATTGGAGGATTGCGTGTGACAAGAGCCGCTTCTTATTGTGCAGCGTCACAATGAAGAACAGCAGCAACATCAACATCAACTGCAACAATGTTACATGTACGAATTGCAAGACAGACTCGCGAGACTTCGTATCGATCCCATACTTCCCATTGTCGGCTCAAACAATCAAGGTTATCGCAATAATGTATTCCTAATGACGTATTTCGAAGAAAATGAGAACGACAATAATTACAACGAGCATAATCGACATCTACCGGCGCCCTTCCCGTTCCGATACGAAAGTCCGCCTTATTCACGTTCTCTGAGTATTACCGATACAACTTACAGCCCGGGCAATAACAACACCATCGTTACCGATTACGACGAGAACGATTACGATGATATGGAGGATAAAAATCCACGGAAAGGTCTCCTGAAACAGATATTTTGCCTTCCATTGAACTAAAAAAGCTCAGTACGAGCTCAGTCTCTTTTTTACAAAGGAATATAAGGTTGCCTCCGATTCGATTACTCGACACGCATTTTTATAGAAAAAAAACGACTTGTGAGAGACACACTTACAATATAGTGGACACAAATAGTAAGTCCTACGTATCTGCGTAGTTTTAAAAACGAGAAGTATTTATAATTCAGCCCATATATATATATATATATATATATAT